CACTGCACCCGGCCCTGGAACAGAATTTTATCGTCACCGAGCCAGCTTTCAACTATTAAAGTTACAGACAAACTTCTCAAACATAGTGGAACTCAACGAATACTGTTCCCGTAAGCTCTTCCTGAGGAGTTTATTAGAGAAAAATAATTCCAGATGACCCAAAAAACTGGAAATTCCACATCAACATAAAAATGGTAGTGGGCATTAAATATATATTTATCTGTAAAAAACTGAATGATGGCTATGAGTGACACATTATACTACATGATGACTATATGCTCCAACAATGTAAATAAAGCCCAAACTATCCAAAAACTGAAGTATGAAGAGATAAAAACTAGAAAAATACTGGCTGATTACTTGGTATTAACTGAAAGTAAAACATATTACTTTAATCAAATGCTTGGGAAGAAAAAGAGGTTACTAGGTAATTTCAATAGTACTCAGAGAGAAACCAACAGAAAATCACCAAAAAACGTGGGAGGGGCACTAAGTCTATTACAGAAGTGTTTTAATATAAAGGCAACATCTAAAACAAAAATACAAACTTTGTAAATTTTTTTCAATACCCAAAACAATTAGCCAGGCATGCTGGCATTTTCCCGTGGTCCCAGCTACATATGAGGCTGAGTCAGGAGGACCACTTGAACCTAGGAGGTTGAGGCTGCAGTGAACCGTATTAGCAGCACTGCATTCCAGCCTGGGTGACAGTGAGACCCTGCCCAAAAAAGAAAGGATTATTAAATAAAGGGCAAATAAAGATATATTATCATGGACACCTTACACCTAACTGAAAAAAATACTTAAAAAATTACAAAATAAACCCCCCCTCCAAAAAAAATCAAAGGGAGATATTAATAAAGAATAGGATTGGATCCTCAAATGGAGAAAAACCACAACAGTGGAAAATCTGACAGCATCTGCTATTTAGTTAACAGTATTATACCAGTGTTATAGCCTTAGTTTTGATCACTACAACATGATTATGCACGTTATTAAATTGGGGGAACCTAGGTGAAGAGTATACAGGAAAACTCTACCATTTTTGCAACTTTCCCACAGTCTAAAATTACTTCAAAATAAAGGTTTTTTAAAACTTTAAGAAAAAAAGTTTTTTACCACAGGAAAATATTAGCAAACCAACTTGTTATTTTAAGTACTAGCAAGTAAAGAGAGTCCAACATATATCCCATCTTTCCTACAAAAACTGTACCCACACCAGGTAACCACAGTGGCTCACGCCTCTAATCCCAACACTCTGGGAGGCCAAGGCAGGTCGATCACCTGAGGTCAGGAGTTCAAGACCAGCCTGGCCAACATGGTGAAACCCCGTCTCTAGATACAAAAATGAGCTGGGTGTGGTGGCACGCACCTATAGTCCCAGCTAGTCAGGAAACTGAGGCAGGATAATAATATCTGCTAATATTAACTCAAAGGAAAACAGACATCATGTGTCTTCTGACAAACCACATTCCCTGGGAAGTAGTCTCACTGTAGTACCCAGCATCAAGGTGACACCCATCTCCAGGTATTCATTAACTTAAGCAGTCCCCTCCAACACTGTATCAAAGTTGGTCTATGTGACCCAAAAAAAGTGACAAGCTGTCACTTCTGAGGTCATAAAGACATTTCAAATTCTCTCTTCCTTTTCTCCCTCTCTTTGATCACTACCTCTGCAGGACCTTTAGGATACTCAGGCAGAAATTGAGACCTCCCACCAATGACCACTGAGTAAGCCACCTCAAGCAAATCCTCCAGCCTTTCTTAAACCTTCAGATGACTGCAACCTGTAAGAGTCCTAAAGCCAGAACCACCCAGCTAGGCTACTCCGAGTCCTCACCTTCAGAAACTGTGGAAGATAATAAATGCCTAGGGGTTTGGGGGTTTTGTTTTGTTATTTTCTGAAACAGTCTTGCTGTCACCCAGACTGGAGTGCAGTGATGTGATCTCAGCCAAATGCAACCTCTACCCCCCAGATCAAGAGATCCTCCCTCCTGCCTCAGCCTCTGAAGTAGCTGGGACTACAGGTACGTGCCACTATGTCCTGACAATTTTTGTATTATTTGTATAGATGGGGGTTCGCCATATTGCCCAGGCTCATCTCTAACTCCTGGCTCAAGTGGTCTACCCACCTTTGATTCCCAAAGTTCTGGGACTACAGGCATGAGCTACCATGCCTGGCCAATATTTATTTTTTAGAGACAGAGTTTTGCCTAGGAGTTGCCTATTAACAGGTGCAATCACAGCTTACTGCAGCCTCAAACTTCCAGACTTAAGCAATACTCCCACCTCAGCCTCCTGAGGTACTGGGACCAATAAATGCTGGTTTAAGACATCAAATTTGGAGATAATTTGTTATGCAGCAACAGATAACTAATACACTTGTCGAAAATAAGCAGAAATTGATCAAGACTTAAAAGCTAACTACCGTTTTAAAAATAGAGAGAGAGGCTGGGCAGTGGCTCACGCCTGTAATCCCAGCATTTTGGGAGGCCAAGGTGGGCAGATCATGAGGTCAGGAGGTCAAGACCATCCTGGCTAACACAGTGAAACTCTGTCTCTACTAAAATTACAAAACATTAGCCAGGCGTAGTGGCATGCGCATGTAGTACCAACTACTGAGGCAGGAGAATCACTTGAATCTGGGAGACAGAGGTCGCAGTGAGCTGAGATCATGTCACTGCACTCCAGCCTGGACCATAGAGCGAGACTCTGCCTCAAAAAAAAAAAAAAAGAGAGAGAGAGAGAGAGGACAGAGGACATACTGAAAAACCACCATAAAGGTACACTCAGCAAAAACTATAGACGGTAATAAACTGTACAGGAAGCCGAGTATAGTGACTTGTGCCTGTAATCCTGGCTTTAGGAGGCCAAGAAGGAGAATCACTTGAGGCCAGGAGTTCCAGACCAGCCTGAGCAACATAGCAAGAGCCACTTCTCCACATACAAAAAAATTTTAATTTAGCTGGGATGGTGGTATGTACCTTTAATCCCAGCTACTTGGGAGGCTGAGGTGGGAGGATCACTTGAGCCAACAAGTTTGAGGCTACAGTGAGCTATGATCGAAGCACTGCTCTCCAGCCTGGATGACAGAGTAAGGCTCTGCCTCACACAAAGAAAAAAGAGAAAGAAAGAAAGGAAGGAAGAAAAAAAAAAACCCTGCAGGACAAAAAATAATTTAACAAATTAGAAGGAAAAAAAGAGATGGAAGAAAAAACCTGTATTAACAGAGACAGGATGCATAAAAACCAAACTGCAATGTCTGCATCTCATTTGAATCTGATTCCAACAAATTAAAAAATGAGAAAAGAGAGCTAGAAAACTGAATAGTGACTGTGTATTTGATGCTACTAAGGAATTAACAGTTATTCCAGATGTAACAATGGTATTATAGTTTGCTTTTTATGAAAGACAGTCCTTATCTTTTATAGATACTTAAGGAAATTATATAATGTCTAGTATTTGCTTCAAAATTGTACGAAGGATCTTGCCTGTAATCCCAGCACTTTGGGAGGCCAACGCAGGAGGGTCACCTGAGGCTAGGAGTTTGATACCAGCCTGAGCAACAACATAGAAAGGCCCCATCTCTACAAAAATTTAAAAATTAGTCAGGCACAGTGACACACACCTGTGGTCCTAACTACTCAGGAGACTGAGGTGGTAAGACCCTTTGAGCCTGAGAAGTCAAGGCTGCAGTGAGTTATGATTCCAACACTGCACCCCAGCCTGGGTGACAGAGTGAAACCCTGTCTCTAAAAAACAAAAATACATATATACGCTCTCACACACACAACAGAGAGAGAGAGAGAGAGAGAGAGAGAGAGAGAGAGAGAGAGAGAGAGAAGAAAGAGGAGAGAGAGAGAGAGAGAGAGAACCTTAGTAATGTAAAAGGGATTAACACTTGTTTCCACCCTTTAGAAGTTAATCATGAATGCTAAAAGTCACAAAAAGTAACCTTGGCCATGGCTCACAAAGTACAATTGACTGTAAACGTGACAAGTGACACTCAAGGAATTTAGGGACAGGGAGTTCCCCTTTCTTTTCATCCAAAGATTTTTCTTCTAAAAATGAGTATTTTCTCCATCTATACAACAGAAGCAAATACATGTAGAAAGCATGATCTACTTTTCTCTGGGGCAGTAGTTCCTACACTCTCATATGGAGATTTTTTAAAAATTAAGATAGAGGCCGGGCGCGGTGGCTCAAGCCTGTAATCCCAGCACTTTGGGAGGCCGAGGCAGGTGGATCACAAGGTCAAGAGATCGAGACCATCCTGGTCAACATGGTGAAACCCTGTCTCTACTAAAAATACAAAACATTAGCTGGGCATGGTGGTGCGTGCCTGTAATCCCAGCTACTCAGGAGGCTGAGGCAGGAGAATTGCCTGAACCCAGGAGGCGGAGGTTGCGGTGAGCCGAGATCGCGCCATTGCACTCCAGCCTGGGTAACAAGAGTAAAACTCCGTCTCAAAAAAAAAAAAAAAAAATTAAGATAGAATAGTTCATGTTCAAATAGTTTGCAGTTCCATTTGTAAAAAACATTAATACGACTTTAAAGGTAAAGTAAATAATCTCACTAACTGAAAATATCTCCCAGGAATTCATTTAAATCCTTCCCTAGATTACCCCAGCCCCAAGCAATCACTTCTTCCTCTGAACTCCAAAAGCAATTATTTGTACAATTTATTTGGCAATTAATCCTTCATTGCCTTGTTAAACCTCTTGCATTATTCTCTGAAATGTTATTTAAATCTTCTCTAGCTATCTAGCTTTCATGTTTATTTCTCACCTCCCCAAACAGACTATAAATTCCTTGAGAGAAAGAGATAAGGCCTTATATTGTTTTGTATACACACAGACACACAGAGTAGCTAGCATAGAGTAAATATAAAGATATTTGATTTTAAGAAAAAACAGGAAAAATCAATTACAAAGAAAATGTTTAAAGTCATGCCAACTAAGTATCTCCAAGCCAAAGTTGACAGACAGGCAGCATGGGGTGGGGGTAAAAACGGCATGGCCTCTGAAATCTGAGAGACCTCAATCTGGATCCTCTATCTGCAGAGCTTCTATAATTAACCCATGAGCTTCAATTTCCTCCTCTCTCAAATGAAGATAATATCTACCTCTAGAAGGTTTCATGACTGTTAAATCAGATTTTATGTAAAACTAGTATCCGGACGCTGCAGATCGCAGTGGACGGTGTAGGCCGCTACAGGCCATCATGAGCCGGCTTCCGGATGAGTACAATCCCTACACGATTGAAGAGCCTAGTGAAGAGGAGCCGGCTTTGAGCAGCTCTGAAGATGAAGTGGATGTGCTTTTACATGGAACTCCTGACCAAAAACGAAAACTCATCAGAGAATGTCTTACTGGAGAAAGTGAATCATCTAGTGAAGATGAATTTGAAAAGGAAATGGAAGCTGAATTAAATTCTACCATGAAAACAATGGAGGTATCCTCTCTGGGAACTGGATCTTCCTCAAGAAATGGAAAAGTTGCAACAGCTCCAGCAAGATACTATGATGATACATATTTTGATTTTGATTCTGAGGATGAAGACAAAGCAGTACCGGTGACCAAGAAAAAAAAGAAGAAACAACACAAGATTCCAACAAATGATGAATTACTATATGATCCTGAAAAAGAAAACACAGATCAGGCCTGGGTTGATGCACAGAGAAGGGGTTACCATGGTTTGGGACGACAGAGGTCACATCAACAACAGACTGTTCCAAATAATGATGCTGTCTTGAATTGTCCTGCCTGCATGACCACACTGTGCCTTGATTGCCAAAGGCATGAATTGTACAAAACTCTATATAGAGTGATGTTCGTGATGAATTGTTACATTAACAAAGAGGAGGTTCTAAGATATAAAGCCTCAGAGAACAGGAAGAAAAGGCGGGGCCATAAGAAGATGAGGTCTAACCAGGAAGATGCTGCCGAGAAGGCAGAGACAGATGTGGAAGAAATCTATCACCCAGTCATGTGCACCGAATGTTCCACCGAAGTGGCAGTCTATGACAAGGACAAAGTCTTTCATTTTTTTCAATGTTTTAGCAAGCCATCCCTAAACAGCGTAATTGGCATTTAATTACCCAATACCATATATAAGGCAAATATGGACAGTTACTTTCCTCCTGCCTGTTCCTATCCTTAAGTGACATTGAGGAAGCAGTGTTTTCTCTTTATAAAGGAGAACAGTTGTCAACCTTGATTCATCTCTCACCCTCTCCTTTTTTTTTCCTTTGATTTTCCCCCGTATGGATGGGACTGATATTCTCTTTTTGATGAACATTTGGAAACTATGGGGCTTTTTATTTATTAAAGCTCTTTAAAATTAAAATGTTCTGGAGTCATAAGCAACAAAAAAAAAAAAAAAAAAAAACTAGTATCCCTTAAAGATAAGGGGTTTGTTCATATTTTTACATCTTTAAAATCAGAATATGTCATGCTACTGACAGTATCCCATTATTTATTTGGCAGCTTTACATTTTTTTTTCCCCAGAAGTACATAAAATAGGCCGGGTGCGGTTGCTCACACCTGTAATCCCAACATTTTGGGGGGCCAAGGCAGGCAGATCACTTCGAGGCCAGGAGTTTGAGACCTAGTAGTACATAAAATGATGTGTTCTATAATTAATGGTATCTTAAACTTGATGAAATTTGGTAACAGCTAGCAGCATCCTCAACAATGCTGGCTTCATCTCCTCCTTTCTCCCTCACACCCATTCATAAACTATCATATGGACAGAAAACAAGCTATAAAATGGAAAAACCACCAAATCCATTCAAAGAGCTTAGCACTTTGCTATTCAGTATATGCTCGATAAAAAAAACCTGCTACTGATACTCTAAAGTTGTTCAGCAAATATGTGAGTAGCTACTATGTGCCTGCCACCATTCTGAGCACTAAGGATACAGAAGTAAACTAAACAGATTAATTCACAGCCCTCAGAGTTTATGTTCTATTAGTACAACTTTTATTTTTTCCTAGAGACAGGGTCTCGTTCTGTCACCCAGTCTACATACAGTACAATGGTATGAGCATAGCTCACTACAGCCTCAAGTTCCTGAGATCAAGCCATCCTCCTGCCCTTAACTTATCAAGTATCTGGGACTACAGGAAAGTGCCACCACACCTGGCAGCACATAACAAATTCTATGGCAGAAGAAATGAAAAGCCAAAATTCACAACTAAGTCAACAGATTGTCCCAAAGGCTGAAAAAGCTAAACAACCCAAGAAAGATATTAAAACACAGCTTAGGCAAATGAATAAGGAAAACCTTACCCAAAGGAGCAAAGTGAAGTCTTGAAAGCAATTCATCCAAGTTTTTGCTTTAAATAAAAGTTTGGGAAAAAGTAAAGCAGCCAGAACAGATGCTGAAACTTAACACGGAAGGAGAAGAATATAACATCTTCTCTAGTTTCTGACAATAAAACATGTATTAGATTCATCTGAAAGAGAAGAATGGTGGCCAGGCGCAGTGGCTCATGCCTGTAATCCCAACACTTTGGGAAGCCAAGGCAGGCAGATCACAAGATAAGGAGTTCGAGACCAGCCTGACCAACATAGTGAAACCCTTGTCTCTACTAAAACTACAAAAATTAGCTAGGTGTGGTGGCACATGCCTGTAATCCCAGCTACTCTGGAGGCTGAGGCAGGAGAATGAATCACTTGAACCTGGGAGGCAGAGGTTGCAATGGGACAAGATCACGCCACTGCACTCCAGCCTGGGCAAGAGAGAGAGAATCCGGCTGAAAAAAAAAAAAGAATAGTAATCATCCTGGTTATTTATGAAACACAAACTTCTTTCAGGAGATAATTTTAAAAATTATCTTATATGTGTACAAATCATTTTTCCAAAGCTCTTCCAATTGCAGTTACACATTGGAACATCAGACTCTGCTAAATAAAATGTTACAAGCTCAGGTTCACCACTACTCTCTAACCCAAATAAATTAATATTACATATTCTTTGCTTCTAACATGGTACCCAAAAAAAAAAATCACACCATGAATTACTACAGCGGTGCAGACCCAAAAGCTTGTTTCAAGTCAACTAAAAGTCATCTAAATGGGACATTTTTAATCATCTTGGGTTTTTCCCCTTCAAAGTTAGGGCTTAAAAACCGAAAACCTATGCTGGCTCATGCCTGTAAACCCAGCACTTTGGGAGGCTGAGGCAGGTGGATCACCTGAGGTCAGGAGTTCAAGAACAGTCTGGCCAATATAGTAAAACCCAGTCTCTACTAAAAATACAAAAATTAACCAGGCATGGTGACATGCACCTGTAATCCCAGCTACTCAGGAGGCTGAGGCAGGAGAACCACTTGACCCCAGGAGGCACAGGTTGCAGTGAGCCAAGATCACGCCACTTCACTCTAGCCTGGGCGAAATAGCAAAACTCTGTCTCAAAAAAAAAAAAAAAAAACCTATTAAACCTCTTGGTTTTTATGATGGTCATTTGTTGAACTAGCTCATTTGGTAGTTTTACATTTTCTTTCCTAGTAACATATAAAATAGTCCGGGTGCAGTGGCTCACACCTGTAATCCCAACACTTCCCCCCAGTTTATCATAAAAAAAAAAGTTTGAGTTACATTCTATAAACTTTCTATAGAAAAACAGTCGCCAGGCTCAGTGGCTCACGCCTGTAACCCCAGCACTTTAGGAGGCCAAAGCAGGTGGATCACCTGAGGTCAGTAGTTCAAGACCAGCCTGGCCAATATGGTGAAACCAGTCTCTACAAAAACACAAAAATTAGCCAGGGATGGTAGTGGGTGCCTGTAATCTCAGCTACTCAGGAGGCTGGGTGGAAGAATCGCTTGAACCTGGGAAGCAGAGGTTGCAGTGAGCCAAGATCCTGAAATTGCACTCCAGCCTGGACAAAAGAGACTGTCTCAAAAAGAGAAAAAAAAAAAAAAAAAAAAAAAAAAGGGAATACAAGAAAAATACTCCATTGCCACATAAGCGATGACCACAGGCAAAAGTAAATTACACTCAATTTACTTCTCAGATGAGTTCTACACAATTCTGCAAGTAAAGAACTTAACTGAAGGCTCTTTCCTTTGCTGCTGCGGCCGCAGCCGTGAATACGCTCAGGCTTCAGAAGAGGCTTGCCTCTAGTGTCCTCCACTGTGGCAAGAAGGAGGTCTGGTTGGACCCGAATGAGACCAATGAAATCGCCAATGCTAACTTGCGTCAGCAGATCCGGAAGCTGATCAAAGATGGGTTGATCATCCACAAGCCTGTGACCGGGCTCGCTGCCGGAAAAACACCTTGGCCTGCGGGAAGGGCAGGCACATGGGCATAGGTAAGTGGAAAGGTACAGCCAATGCCGGAATGCCAGAGAAGGTCACGTGGATGAGGAGAATGAGGATTCTGTGCCGGCTGCTCAGAAGATACCGGGAATCTAAGAAAATTGATCGCCCACATGTATCACAGCCTGTACCTGAAGGTGAAGGGGAATGTGTTCAAAAACAAGCGGATTCTCATGGAACACATCCACAAGCTGAAGGCAGACAAGGCCCACAAGAAGCTCCTGGCTGACCAGGCTGAGGCCCGCAGGTCTAAGACCAAGGAAGCAAGCGCCGTGAAGAGCGCCTCCAGGCCAAAAAGGAGATCATCCAAAACTTTGTCCAAGGAGGAAGAGACCAAGAAATAAAAGCTCCCCCTTTGTCTGTACATACTGGCCTCCGTGATTACATAGATCAGCCATTAAAATAAAACGAGCCTTTAAAAAAAAAAAAAAAAAAAAAAGAACTTAACTGAAAAGCACTACTTTTACCAACTTTCCTTATTATCTAAAAGATTTAATCCCTTCCAGATCAGGGAAATGTAAGGAACTCCGATGTACTTAGATGATAGCATAATCCAGACAGCATCTATAAATATGAAGAACTTCTTTGCTAAAAACAAAACAACAAGCTGGGCGTGGTGGCTCACGCCTGTAATCCAAGCACTTTGGAGGCCAAGGCGGGTGGATCACCTGAGGTCGGGAGTTCAAGACCAGCCTGACCAACATGGTGAAACCTCGTCTTTATTTAGAAAACAATGAGGCCAGGCACAATGGCTCATACTTGTAATCCCAACATTTTGGGAGGCCCAGGTAGGAGGAGGGCTTGAAACCAGCAGTTTGGGACCAGCCTGGGCAAAGTGAGACCCATCCCAATTTTTTTTTTTTTTTTTTTTTTTTTTTGAGTCAGAGTTTCGCTCGTTACCCAGGCTGGAGTGCAATGGCGCAATCTCGGCTCACCGCAACCTCCGCCTCCTGGGTTCAGGCAATTCTCCTGCCTCAGCCTCCTAAGTAGCTGGAGATTACAGGCACGCGCCACCATGCCCAGCTAATTTTTTGTATTTTTAGTAGAGACAGGGTTTCACCATTTTGACCAGGATGGTCTAGATCTCTTGACCTCGTGATCCACCCGTCTCGGCCTCCCAAAGTGCTGGGATTACAGGCGTGAGCCACCGCGCCCGGCCCCATCTCTATTTTTAAAATAAATAAGAACTCAAAGGCACAGACATCAATCATCATTTAATAAAGAGGCAAAGACCCTCTATAAGCTTTAGAATGACAAAGGCATAACAACAATTTGTTTTGCAATAAACGATAATACAATGTTATGCTGTAAATGAGACAAATTTGTGTACAGGATATACTGTCTGCACCAAAGAATAAGCTCCTTTTTGGGCAGGGACCTTTTCTCGCAAAACTTTCTGTCTCCTAGGATGCTTTGCATTAACGTTCATTATTGGCCGGATGGGGTGGCTCATGCCAGTAATCCGAACACTTTAGGAGGCCAAGGCAGGAGGATCACTTGAGGCCTGGGCAACATAGCAAGACACCATCTCTACAAAAAAAGTTTATCTTATTAGCTGGGCCTATAGGTATGTACCTGTAGTCCTCATACAGCAGTAGGACAGGGAACTAAGTGCTGGGTAGAGAAAGGTAGGGTCTGTGGTGAGAGCTCCACCCTCAGGCCTGTACCCACAGACCTAAGAGAGGACAAACATTTCTGTTTTCGTACCCAAAAAGTTGCCTTTTGGCCTGCCAAGCTCCCACATCCTGTGCCCATTTAAGCCCGGGAGCTTAAGTGGATACACACACAAGCGGCTGGACGTCCAGAGGAACAGAGGAGCAGAAGAGCACACCGAGAGATACCAGCAGATGCCAGCAGGCTATCTACAGCAAGTTGGCGCAGAATTTGGTCGGGGGTGGTCAGAGGAGAGTCTGGGCGCTGGGCGGCCCAACTCCAGGGGAAAACCACCTTGCCACTCTATCCCCCTTCTGGCTCCCCATCCATCTGCTGAGACCTACTTCTACCATTCAATAAAACCTTGCACTCATTTTCCATGCCCAATAAAACCTTGCACTCATCTCCCAGTGATCGGATTTTTCTCGTTACACTGGGGGAAGAACCTGGGATACAGAAAGCCCTCTGTCCTTGTGATAAGGCAGAGGGTCTAACTGAGCTGATTAACACAAGCCACCTGCAGACAGCAAAACTGAAAGAGCACACTGTAACACATGGCCACTGGAGTTTCAGTAGTTGTAAACACTCAACCCTAGACCCTGCTGCGGGGTCAGAGCCCAAAAACACTCCACACGACCTGACTGTCTGCACGCTCCCCTGAGGGGTTTGAGCAGTGGAGACACACAAGAAGTGAGCCAAACTCCTGTCACACACCCTGCAAGAAGGAATAAAGAAACTCCTCCTATTTCAGTCCTAGCTACTTAGGAGTCTGAGGTGGGAAAATTCCTTGAGCCCAGAAGTTTGAGGCTGCAGTGAGCCATGACTGTGCCACTGCACTCAAGTCTAGCAAGAAAACAAGACCCTGACTCTAAAACTAAGAATAATAATTATGCTCAATATTTAAAAAAAAAAAAAAAAAAGGTCTGGGCAACACAGCCAGACCTTGTAATGGTTTGTTTCTGTTTTTGTTTTTTTTGGAGACAGTCTCACTCTGTTGCCTAGGTTAGAGTGCAGTGGTGAGATGTCAGCTCACTGCAACCTCTGCCTCCCGGGTTCAAAGGTGATTCTTCTGCCTCAGCCTCCTGAGTAGCTGAGACTACAGGGCACGCACCACCACACGCAGCTGATTTTTGTATTTTTAGTAGACACAGGGTTTTACCATATTGGCCAGGCCAGTCTTGAACTCCTGACTTCAGGTGATCTGCCTGCCCCAGCCTCCCAAAGTACTGGGATTACAGGTGTGAGCCACCTCGCCCAGCCATAATGATTCTTACACTGGATATAAGGAAGCTATCCAAACACCTGAATTCTTTTTTTTAGATGGAGTCTCACTCTGTCACCCAGGCTGGAGTGCAGTGGCACAATCTCTGCTCAGTGCAACTTCTACTTCTCAGGCTCAAGTAGCTGGGACTATAGGCCACCATGCCCAGACAATTTTTCTATTTTTGGTAGAGATAAAGTTTTGCCATGTTGCCCAGACTGCTCTTGAACTCCTAAGCTCAAATGATCTGCCCACCTCAGCCTCCCAAAGTGCTGGGGTTACAGGCATGAACCAGCTCATCTGGCGCCCAAATACCTCATTCTCAAAAGATGTCAGTAATCTAAAGTAAAACCATTTACTTTGAGGTTTTCTCATATCTTATTTTTAAGCCTGAAAAAAGTACAATCAACATTTTCTGAATGTCCACAACGTACTCAGAAAGTTACAGGTCCCTGAAAAGACTCAAATTCAGCATGATCCAGTAAAAGGATGCTCACTACCCAGTTAGGGAGACTAACACTAGTGAAACACTTGTTATATATAGTATCTTGTGGTGGGTACCAAGTACCAAGATGGACAGTACAGACTAGAAGCTTGGTGAAAGAAATAATCACAAGTTCATGCTTTGGTTTCTCTGTAGAGGAAATAAATCTTTTGCCTTTTACAAAATAATAACAATAATAATAATAATAATAATGAGTTCAAATGAACAGTAAGAACACAATTAAAAGATAGAGCTTTGGATGGGTAGTTTAACAAGAAAGGAAAACGACGCCAAACAATTCTAGTTGCTCAAGCCAAAAACTTTTGAATCACGCTTGATTCTTCTCTTCCGTCCTTCCCCTCCACTGAAACCATCACAAAATCCTGTTGGCTCTACCTTCAGAAGATGATACATACAATCTGACCACTTCTTATCACCCCTTGCCATAACCATAGTCTAAGCCAACATGGATTACTATAACAGCCTTCTAATAGGTCACCCTGTTTTTCTGTGTATGTGTTTTGTTTTGTTTTTGTTTTTTTGTTTTTGTTTTTGAGATGGAGTCTCTCTCTGTCCCCCAGGCTGGAGTGTGGTGGTGCAATTTCAGCTCACCACAACCTCCACCTCCCATGTGTGTTTCGTGTTCAAGTGATTCTCCTGCCTCAGTCTCCCATGTGTGTTTTGTTTCATGTGTTTGGTTTTTTTGGAGACAGAGTCTTAATCTGTTGCCCAGGCTGGAGTACAGTGGCATGGCCACAGCCTCAACCTCCTGGGTTCAAGCGATCCTCCCAGCTCAGCCTCCCAAGCATGCTGGGACCACAGGCATCTGCCGCCATGCTTGGCTTATTTTTGAATTTTCTGTAGAGACAGGATCTCACTACGTTGCTCAGGCTCGTCTCAAACTCCTGGGGCTCAAGCAATTCACCCTTCTGAGCCTCTCAAAGTGCTATAATCACAAGTGTGAGCCACTGCACCTTGGCCTAGCTCTCCCTGCTTCTACCCTTGTACTCTTACAGGCTACTCTTCACAAGACTGCTAGAGGGTCTTGTGAAGAAAGTGATAAGAGTTTATTTGCTCTCTGCTAAACCCATGTACTGCTCAAGGCACTGTGTATGTGTACAGGAACAAATGAAAACAGACTGGAAAGATATACATATAAAATTTATAATCATGGATGATACAGTTACTAGTAATCCCTATTTTCTTCTTTGTACTTTTCTGGATTGCCCATGTTTTCCACATGAACATGAATTAATCACCTTTACAACCAAAGAAAAAAGAAATACTTTAATATGAAGGGGGGAAAAAAATAATCAGTGAGGCCGGGCATGGTGGTGGCTTATGCCTGTAATCCAAGCACTTTGGAGGCCAAGGCGGGTGGATCACCTGAGGTTGGGAGTTCAAGACCAGCCTGACCAACATGATGAAACCCTGTCTTGAAAAAGAAATAAAAAATTTAAATAAATAAATCAGTGATCTTGTATATTTTTGTTTTGTTTTTTGAGACGGAATCTGGCTCTGTCACCCAGGCTGGAGTGCAGTGGCGCATACTTGGCTCACTACAACCTCCATCTCCCAAGTTCAAGTGATTCTCCCACCTCAGCCTCCTGAGTAGCTTGGATTACAGGCGCATGTCATCATGCCCAGCTAAGTTTTTTATTTTCAGTAGAGACGGGTTTTCACGATGTTACCCAGGCTGGTCTTGAACTTCTGACCTCAGGTGATGCGCCTGTCTTGGCCTCCCAAAGTGCTGGGATTATAGGCGTGAGCCACCACACCCAGCCAAATTATCTTTTTGGAATAACCAAAAATACAATTAAAAGCCTGCAGCAAGCTAGGTATGGTAGCTCACACCTGTAATCCCAGTATACTTTGGGAAGCTAAGTGGGAATATTGCTTCAGGCCAGGAGTTCAAAACCAGACTGCGACAAAACAAGATCTTGTCTCTGCAAAAAATAATTATTTTATTTTATTTTATTTATTTATTTTTTTTTTTGAGACGGAGTTTCACTCATGTTACCCAGGTTGGAGTGCAATGGCG